AAATCTGGCCAGAAAATCGAAAATCCCGGCTCCAGACCCCTGGACTCGTCGAGTCCACTATGGAACTCGTCGAGTAGGACCTACTCGTCAAGTCCATACATGGACTCGGCGAGTCAGCCAGTCAGAAGCAAAAAATTTCGATTTTCTTGATCTTTGGTGGTTCATTTTTGCATCTATTTACTAGAAAACGACCTAGTCTCTGATACCACTATTGGTTATGAGCATTACATCATTCCTATGGTGTACATGTAACCCTAATTGCTTTGATCTAGGTTTTCTACTATGAACACAACAACATTGAATACCAAAGCATAAACCCTAGATCTAACATGCTATTATCGAAATTGACATAAGATTAGGGTTAGAAACATTACCTTGATTTTTATGTAGCAATAACAATCACAATCCTTATTGATCTTGACTTCTGAAAGCCTAGTGCCTCAAATGTTGCACCTTTAATGGAGTCACAAACACCACTAGCAACAAGACGACTTAGGAGAAGGAGGAGGAGGCACAAAATCGTCCAGGGTTCCCTCTAGGGTTTCCAGTGGCGATTTTAGGATGCCTGTGGTATCCTTATATAACTGAGGAATTAGGGTTTCACTCAAAGGCCTTATCTGGTTGCTTAGGCTCTAAGCAGCCCACAAGATCCTTCCGAAATATCCCTTTGGACGAAATCTTATGGGCTATCCATAAGGATTTCACCCAACCCCTTTCCAAGGGTTCCTCAGCCCACAATGTAATTATCTTATAATTACAATATTAGTCCCCCAAGTTTAATTAATATCTTTTGACCACAAAATTAATTATAAACTAATTCTTGATCAATATTAATTAAACAATATGATTTCTCTTTTAATATATTATTCATATAATATATTAATAAATCGTAATTAATCATCTTTCTCCTTGATTCATCCTATCAGTTGCTACGGTGAAGGCAACCCAAAAGGACCATGCTCATAATCGGGTCAAGTACATACCAAAATAGTTATGGGCTTAAACACATAATCCAACAAAAGTTACTTATTCATTGCCTTATTGGGCCTAGCCCATAAAGGCCCAAATGCTACTAGCCACGAAGCCCAGAAGATAATCTATGTCCAAAATGGACCCAATCCCCAAGTCCCACCACAAAAAAGTTTATGGCCCAACAAGGGCTCAAAGTCCCTAAATCCCACATATGACCTGAAACAAGCCCAAAACTCACTCTGATGAGTACGCTCAACATACCAATCAGTACGCCCGGCGTACTCACAACCCCTGCATCATCAGGACTTCAGAACGTACCCCAAGGTACACCCGACATATGCTGCAGCTAGCCAAAACCTCAATCCAAGGTCTTAATCAGTTAAGACCCAACGTCTAATTTTAGATCTCGGCTTATTAAAGTGCATTAAGCCATAAAGTTGCCAACTTTATACTTTTGCATGTCTTAATGGGGGCAAATCTTGGATTTAACCATATTATCTTCATGAAAACACCTTTAATCCTTGCATGATTGAACTTAATCCATCAAGAATCCATTCTTATGCTCAATGGATGTTAGAAACACTGGGATCTAACATTATAACCTTCTGGAGTAGCTCATACTCTCAAGAATACCTTAAAGGACCATTTTATGAAGAAATAAGCCCTAAACTAACAACTAGCACATGAAGTCATCAAGGTATACATTTTTTACCTTTAATGAGCTAGAAATGATGAGAAACCTTTGGATCTACAAGCTCTTTCTGATCCAATGCTTCCTCACAACTCTTCTTCTTCTTCTCTAAGCACCACACACACACAAGCTCAAACTTTAGGGAAAAGGGATTAGGGTTTCGAGATATGACTCAAGGGGCAAATGAGGCTGATAAGGTGATGAACTTGAAGAACTTAATGAACTTAAATAGGGTGCAAACCCTAAAAATTAGGGTTTGCCTATGGCTTGAGTATGCCCTGCGTACGCATGGGTACGCCCAACGTACGTAGGGTCACCTCGATACACGCATGTAAAGGAGTACGCCGTGCGTACCTAGTGTACACCCAACATACTCATGGTCTAGTCCTTGATTAATTGAAATAATGGTTAAAGTTTATACCTGGCGACTCGGACGTTCCAAATATTCGGGGTTTTTTTTTTCTAGAAATCTTCGATTCAATAGTGAAATTATGAAATCTTCATTTTTGCTTATTTTTTTGGTGTTGGTTTGATTCTGCTGATTTGTGTATATGGTTGTTGTGATTTGCTTATGACTTATAGTTAGAGTTTGTTTTGGGAAGTTACACAAAGTATCATATGTATAAAACATTAAAACTATCATATTGTATAAAAATTAGAACTTATGAATTTATGGTTATATGTACTATGTTATGTACATTTGATAATATATATATTTTATAGTAAAATTAGAATTTAATATTTTGCTGTATGTTATGACTGATTCGTGTATATGGTTTTACTTTGTTGCTGTATGATTGGACTGAAAAACAAAATAAACTATTTGATTGTAAGACTTATAATTGGTGTTTTTTGAAGTATTTAACTTCTTGCTTTATTATTGGAAAATGGGTTAAAACCCAAATCTATGCCATGGGTTTAAACCCAGAACCCGTAAGTTTATGGGTTAAACCCAAAAAACGCCAAAACTGACTTCAGAACCCGAGAAATCGAACCTACCAGACCGAACCTATTAGGTTCTGAAAACCAGAAACCAACCATTTACGGGTTGGGTTCGGTTTGGGTCCAAAACTGACCCATGCATAACCCTATAAACCTCAACCGCAACGAAAACCGATGATGAAGTTTTATGTTTTTCAAAAACCTCAAATTTACGGTGCAGTGCGGTTATTAATTTTCAAAAACCATAAAAAACCGCAACGTACCGTATATATTATAATATTATTTACATTTTTTTTATTAATTATTAGTATATTAAATATTAAAAAATAAAATAAAAAAGAACATAGACGAGTCTTTGAGCGGGACTTCTCAAAGAATTTTGTTCGATCGTCTTTGCCCTAGCCTAGTCTCACCCAGTCACGCTCAATCGCTTATATAAGCGGTTCGATATTTCGCTGCATTACTCTCGAGTCTTCACTCGTCTCAGCAGCCAGCAGCAAACCCTCGCTCCTTCGCCTCTACTCTTTCGCCACAAACTTCAGTACTTCACAATCTGTTTATCGAAGTCAAATTTCGATTCGATAACATATAAATATACAATAGCAGGTATTTTTCTACTCAATCTGTTGTCGTTCGCTCATTTGGTAATCACATGTATGCGTTAAACGAACGCTGTTTTCTGAATTGGTTTCGAAGGTAGCTTTGCGCTTTGGTGTCTGTAGTTTCTGTAAACATGTTTTATTTATTTTTAGTTTGCGCCGACAGCATGCACCGATGTTGTTTGTTTTCACATTTATGCCTCTGTTTGTTAGGTTTTGGTTGGAATCGTTTGTATACTTCCTTATCTACAATCGAGATTCTATGGAGTGTGTGGAAATTATTTGTTAGTATTAGATTTGGATTTTCTGTTTGTTGTTGTAGCTTTTGCGTATTTCTAAAGCTCGTAATTGGAGACTTTGTTCATGCCTAACCTTAATTGCGGAATTGAAGCTTACTTGACAGTGTTTTTGCTGTTGAAAATTGGATAATGGTTGCGTGAAATTGGAGTTAGATTAGGGCTCTAAGAAATATTGATACATAGGATGTTGCAATGCATGAAAATGTATGCCATGGTTTTAGAGGCGTTTGGACTATTGATGTTGCCTTTTGATAGTGATTGTTGCAGAGTTGAAGAATCAAATTGAATAATCACTTAATAATGTTAAATATAGGCACATACTGACATACATATATCCGTATCTGATTATTTTTACCCAAAATAATTGCTTTCTTCCAAACTATCAAAATTTCAGAACACCCCTTACCCTTCTACGTTTGTTTCATAAGATCAAACAAGTTGTAAACATGTAATGCGTAGGTGATTAGTATTTTGCTTATTTATTTTACATACACTTAAACTATGCATATGAATCTTTGAAAAGAGTAACTCCTCTTAATGCTGTTTTCTATTGTGATTCATTATATGTTAAGCAGTATGCATACCTGCTCTGGAGCCATCATGGGTTCCCTTCAACAGCCTGTATGGATTAAGGAATCAACATTCCTCCCAAAAAGACTTGGTTTCACTAAGTTTCCACATCATCTGAATCTTGGATCACTCAAGCCATGTAAATCATCTAAAATTGAAGGTAGCTTGGTTACTGGAAAGGCATCCACTACTTGTGTCCCAATCACAGTTCTTGAAGGAGGTAATTAGTCATAAATCGTTGCACCTTTTTAGTTGTTGATAGACATGTTATGATGATAAGACAGACACCTAAAGAAGAGATCTATAGTGATTTATTTAAGAGTCCAAATAAATTAATAACTCTATAATAGATTATAAGTCAGAATATATAAAAGTAAATATTTCAAGTAGTTGAGGATATGGAAGGAAGCTCTTTTACAAAATTGGTAGAAGTGGTTGCAAGAAATATCTAGATCAGCAGACATTGAGTAAGTTACATTTTTGTCCCCCGACTTTTGCAATTTTTGTCTAACTTGGAACAGTGACCAAAACATTACAAAAACCTCAAATAAGAACCAAAATTACAAGAGGTATTTTTCATTTTTTTGTGACCAAATTGCAAAGATAAGCTAAACCCAGGGACCAAAAAGTAATTTATTAGTAAATTAAATTTTTGGTCCCTGAGTTTAGCTGTAGTATTCTAACCATTTTTGTCCTCAGTTGAGTTATTCTACTGGTGTGAAGAAGGGAGGTGGAGTGGCCTAATCTAACAAAATAATTGTTAAATAACAAGTATTTATAAAAAAACCTGAAAAAATCTCAAATACAGACTAAAATTGCAAGAGATATTTTGTAACTGGCTCAATCTTGAACGATTTTAATGTTGATGGAATATATCTGTTTATAATAATAATGTTGTTGAGTTGTATAGGTGATGGAAATGGGTTTGTTGACCATGAACTGAGTAATGTTGACCCTGAAGTTAGTGCAATAATATACAATGAAAAGCAACGTCAGTTTAGAAGCTTGGAGCTTATTGCATCAGAAAACTTCACATCCAGAGCTGTTATGGAAGCAGTTGGCTCTTGCCTTACAAACAAATATTCTGAAGGACTTCCTGGAAAAAGGTCAATATATAAATAGCTTATTATTATTATTTTTTTTTCTAATAATGTTTAATTGATTATAATATACATTAATTTGCAGATACTATGGTGGAAACGAGCACATTGATGAACTAGAAACTCTTTGCCAAACGCGGGCATTAGCAGCATTTCATTTAGATGAAGAAAAATGGGGTGTAAATGTTCAACCATTATCTGGTTCCCCTGCTAATTTTGAGGTCTATACAGCCATTCTGAAGCCTCATGACCGTATAATGGTGCGTATTTTTATTTTTATTTTTAATATTATATTCAGATGGATATTGGTTTTTATTAAATTTTTTAAACTCAGGGGTTGGACTTGCCTCATGGAGGACACTTGTCTCATGGATTTATGACACCAAAAAGACGGGTTTCAGGAACATCCATATATTTTGAATCTATGCCTTATCGTCTTGATGAATCTACAGGTGTTATATATCTTTCTTTTCCAACAAAATATAATATTTTTATATTAATGTAATGTTTACTCTTTTTATTTTCCATATGATAGGCCTGGTTGATTATGAGATGCTTGAGAAAACTGCTACCTTATTTAGACCAAAACTTATAATTGCTGGTGCTAGTGCTTATCCCCGAGATTTTGACTATCCTCGTATGAGAAAGGTATACCTTTTTTGAATGTTGTTGACCAAAATATTGAGTATTGACTTTTTTTTTTCTTTCTTATATAATAATGACATGTATGATTGTTGGACTTGAAAAGATTGCAGATGGTGTTGGTGCTTTTCTGATGATGGATATGGCTCATATTAGTGGACTTGTTGCTGCTTCTGTGGTTGGGAATCCTTTTGATTATTGTGATATTGTCACTACCACAACACACAAGGTAGGTAATATTGCATTGCTTCTGACTGAGTTGATAAAAAAATTCCTAGGTTTACTTTTTAGTCATAAAATGGTATATAATTACAGGATTAACTATTTCTTCTTATTGTTGAACTGAACAATAATGTAGCAGACTACTATTGTCCTAGGGTAGTGTTTAGTAATGATAGAATCAGGGAGGGAAGGAATGGAGTGGTTCATCCCATACTTGATTAAAACCTGTTTCTTTTGTTTGGTGGAATGGACCATTTCATAATAGTTGAGTTGATAAAATGGTCAAAGTATGTTGTGCTTTTCTGTGTTTTGCTCTTACACATCATATAAAAGTTGCTTATTCCATTCCATTCCATTCTATTATTACCTTACTTATTCCATTCTATTCCATCATGTTTCCAGTCTCTGAGAGGGCCTAGAGGCGGCATGATATTCTTCAAGAAAGATCCTGTTTTAGGCATCGAATTAGAGTCCGCCATCAATAATGCTGTTTTCCCAGGTTTGCAGGTTAGTTAGTTCGACTAATTTCAATCTGTTTCCTTTTTTTTTTTTTTTTTTTTTTAAATAATTAAAAGAAAACTTGATATCATAACAGGGTGGTCCACATAACCATACAATAGGAGGACTTGCAGTTTGCCTGAAGCATGCTCAGTCTCCAGAGTTCAAGGCCT